GCAGGGGAGCGGGTCAGGCGGGCATGCAGGGGCGCGTCAGCCGGGCGCGCAGGGGAGCACGCGGTGGTGGCGTCAGCTCCGACCTCAGAGGACGCTGGCAGCATTGACAGCGCTGAACCCCCGCACCAGGCAGGCCTCACTGCCCGGGGAGACGTGCGCTGAGATAAGAAGTGCGCTGACCCGAGAGGGGTCCTGGCTGGTGACGGTGAGCAGGGCGCCCCCTCCACGCCCGTGACACGCAGCCGGGCCACCCCTGCCTCTGCCAGGGACCTGTGGGCCTGGGACTTCCTCCCGGCACCTGCTGAGTTTGGGGAAGCCGGGAGGGCTGTGCCAGCCACCTGGTCCCAGCAGATACGGATCCCCAGCCCCGCCCCCGGGCCCCAATCCTAGCCCTTCTGCTGGGAACTGCCCCGGTGACACCAGCGTTGGGGACCAGACTCCCTAGGGGGCGCTGGTTCCCGCACAGCGGGAGACCGAAGGGCCCAGGTGGCACAGAACCACACATCCTTACGGCTGATGACCGGGGCCAGGGGATGGGGACTCCTGACCGCGGTCCAGGCCGCCGCTCTCCGGCCAGCCGCCCCGAGGGGGCAGTGAAGGAGGAGTGGGGCAGAGAGATCTCCGAGAGCCCGTGCGCAGCCCCCTTCCCAGCCAGCGGGCGGGCTTCCGGAGAATTCCTGCCCCAGTGCAGCCACGGCAGGGCCTTCCAGCGCTCTGCAGGTGGAGGTTCGAGAGCCAGCGGGCAGCTGTCCTCCTGGGAGCACTCCGTCCTGAGTCCATCCAGTGACCCTCCAGGGAGGAGCCCAGGGGGGCGGCCCAGCAGCCTAGCGCAGTGCCGCATTTGGTTCAGCAGCGTACAGGACGCCGGGGCTCAGTGAGACACCCCACACCCGAAGGAGGGCCGTCCTCGGCGCCCCCGCTGGTGGGCTGGGAATGGCGCGGCTGCTGTGTGTCCACAGCTCCTCCCACACCAGTCACCAGCGATCGCGCCGTGGGCTGTGCCCGAGACAAAGGAAACCGTGTCCACACAGACACACACCGCAGCAACAGCCCCAACGGCCACGTGGCCGAAACAACCCCAACGCCCAGCGACGGGCGCACGGACAAGCAAAACGGGGTGCAGTGTTTGGCCGTGAGGGGAGAGGAAATTCTGGCACGCGCTGCCATGTGCACGAACCTCCAGACAGTACGCCGCGTGGAAGAAGCAGGCCATGAGAGGCCGCGTGGTGAACGAGTCCCTTTGCAGGAAATGTCCCGAACGGGCACGTCCACGGAGACACGAGGTGGAGGAGGGACCCCTGGAGCTGGGGCGGGGGGCCGCTCTCTGCAGTGACAAGGGCGTTCCGAACTGGCTGCGTGGCTGCATGTAAACCATTCCCCAAAAACAATGCGGGAGGAGTGAAACCGTGTGTCCGCGGCGGGCTGACCCTGCTCTCGGCTGCTAGGGCTCCCGGCCTCGAGTGAGTACCGATCGGAGAAAAGAGGAACCCACTTCCGGGGAGGAGGACCAGGCGTGGCGACCAGCTGGGGCACGTGCCGCCACCTCCCGACAAGTTTCTTGGCAAACAGAAGCCAGTGGTCTCACAGGGGCCGCGCTTTTCCTGGAGCTTCTAGAAAGTCTCCTACGCAGCTGTTAGCAGTGTAACCTCTAGCCACTGCCCGCTTGTGAGGACAGATGAAACGGGCGGCGGGCAGTCCGAGGGCTCTGGCCGAGGCTGCGGTGGCTGCGCTCTGCTCCCCCGTCACGGCCAGCTCCTCAAGCCCGGGATGGCGGCTCTCCCCTCCCTCACACAGCCCCACCGCAGGCGCTGGTTCTGTGGGGGCACCACTGGGGGTGGACTACAGGCCCCGGGGTCCCCGTGGTCCCGGGAGCCAGACGGGTCCCAGGTCAGCTGAGTCTGCAGCCCGTGTCCCTCCCTGCCAGAACCCCTGGGACACTGGCCGGTCCCCGCGGGGGGGTCGTCTTACCCACGGAGGTAGTCCAGGGCCAGCTGGGCCCCGGAGCGCTTGGCCGACAGGCTCTGGGCTGCTCCTGACTCCCGCAGCCGCTTCCTCTCCTCTTTCCTCCGCTCCTTCTTCAGCTTCCTCTCCAGGACCCTCTTCTCTTCCGGGGTCAGCACGGGCAGCTGGGGGGCCGTCTCCTGCCTGGCCCCCAACACTGCTTCTCCCTGCAAGTCAAAGGAAAACCGGCCTGTGAGGATATCCCGCAGCATCCTGGACCCCCGCTCTCGGGAGCTGACCCCCTCTGGGTGGGTGGGCTGTTCCACAGCCTGTGCTGGGCTCCCAGCAGCCCCTCACCCCCAGTAACTGGGGACGGGGCTGTTCAGAGTCTTGCTCTCTCAGGGACCCAGGAGACCCAGCACCAGGTGGGGCTGTCTCACCCCAGGACGGGTCAAAGTTGACTGACCTCAGCCCTGTTTCCTGCCCCTGCCCCTGTGCTCAGCACTGGCGACAAGGATTTCTGGGCCTTGACGAGGGCCCCACCCTCTGAGACCCTGCAGGAGACCCGCCTGTCCCCCTTCCCCTCCCTGTCCCCACCGCTGTCTGCAGGCCCCCAAGCCCGCCCCGCAGTGGGATGTGAGGTCCAGGTGCACAGAGGCTGGGCTGAGAGCACACACTTCTTGCAGGGGGTGGGGGCGGGGGGGGCAGTCTTCCCACCACAAGGATCCACTGAGGCCCTTCTGCTTGCGCGAACCCCTCCTGAGGAGAGCAGGCGGCTCAGCGGCTGGGGGGCGCGGTGCTGGTGGCCTATTGTCCCCCCCATCGGGCTGTGGCCCCCTGACACCACCTCTTTCCCAGACACCTACAAAGTACAGTCCCCCCTCCTCCCCACTATCAAACCAGGTGGAGGGTGACGACCCCACAGCTGCACACACTCCCCCCTGCCTGGAAAACCAGGAACGCCAGCACTGGTCACGTGATTCCAGCCAGGGACCCGGCCACCGCCCCCAACGCCTCCAGGAAGGGCGAGCACGCTGCCCCAGGCGTGTCCAGCGTCTGCAGAGTACCCCCTCCCTTCGGGCCTCCCCAGAGGCCACGCATGCCCCCTCATAAAGTGCCAGTGCCTTGACAACCTTTGTGTTCCCACTCAGCCCCAGGTCCTTCCGGAACCTTCTAAAACAGAAGAGCAGCTCTCTCCAGCTCCTCCCTCTGCCTCCTTAAGACCAGCTGAATTTACCAGCAGTGGGGCTTCAGGGCTGCCCTGGGGAGACTCCAGCAGCCTCAACACCACACACGGACACGCACGCAGACGCGCACGCGCAGACAGACTGACACGCACGCGCACTCACACACACACGCACAGACACACGCACGCAGGGCTCACGGACACGGCCCCGGGAGCCCAGCACCCCAGCTGCCGGAGGGCGTCTGGTTCTCAGGTGGGGTTTCCTGAGGTCGAGGGTGCAGCAGTCTGAGGAGCGGGACGTGGGCGTCCACGGGGAGTCTCCCTCCCGGCTCCCTGCTCAGACCGTGCCGGGCCCAAGGCGGCTGACGGCGGGCAGCACAGAACGTCTGGCAAAGGAGCCTCAGTGCGGGCCGGCCTCTGGCCCCCCACCCCGCGAAACCACGCAGGCGGCACAGCAGCAGCCACCCGGGGCCGACGTCCTGGGACAAGGTCAGGGCCCTACAGCGCTGGGCCGTGGACGTGTCGACACCGACCCCGGGGGGGCCTGGGAGGGGCAGCGAGGGCAGGAAGCACCTGCCCCGTGATGAGGGCAGCACGACTCTCCGCACCCTTCACGGTGCCACGTGTCACCAGGACGGGGCCTCTGCCCCCTGCGCTCCTGCCCCTGTGCCGTACAGAGGCTGCGCCCGAGGCTGGAGGAGCCCGACGCACAACACACGGACTCCCGGGGCTCCCTGAGGGCCCGGTCCCCACGGAGGGGCCAGCAGGCAGGCGGCGGGGACCCGAATGAGGCGCTGCCCGCACAGCCTGGGGTGACGCCCAGCATGAAGGGCCCACGTCTGGTATTAGGCACGCAAACCCAGGAAGGACACACACAGCTGCTTTCTCTGGCCTGTGGTCACCCCGGCGTGGCAGTGACTGCAGCCCACGCCCCGTGTCCTCAGGAAGCTAAGCGTGCCTCCAGAGCTGTTCAGAGGGCCGTGACGCCCGCCCTTGACTGCGCCAGGGGCCAGCCAGGGACGCCGAGGGTTCCGGACCCACCGATGCCCACACCCGGGCCACGGCCCGAGCCGAAAGGCCTCTCCAGAGAAGCTGGAAACAGAGAACGACAGGTGAAACCTCCTGAATTTTAACCGCCGGCAGTTCCAATTAAACAATGCAGTCTGTGGGCAAAACCAACCACTGCGTGTGAAGCAGGGAAGGAAACCGGCACCTCTGACCCAAGACCGATGCTCCACCTGCTAGACCAGCCTTCCTTTCCCTAAACTCTGACAGCCTGCGGGCATCCGCATCTGCCCTTTCTGGCTCTCTTCCAAGGAAAGGGGCCGCCAAGGAAAGTAGCCAGAGCCCTCTCCCACAGCTACCGCTGGGAAGGGAGACAGAGTGACAGACCATTGCCCCTGCCTCAGCTGTGATCCTTGCCCGGGGGGGAGCACACGAACCCAAGCAACCATTCGTGAAAAACACAACGGTCCCGGGCATTGCTTGAAGATCAAGAAGGGGGGCCCAGATGTGCAGGGCTGTGACCTGGTGGGGGCAGGGGCCATGGGCCAGCTGTGGGCCTCGCCTGGTCCCTTTGCTCTGGGTTCCCTGACTGTTCTGGCCTGGCCAGGGACGCCCCCACTGCTGCTACCATCATATGAGGGCGTGGGGCTGCAGGGGCAGAGAGCTGTCTCGGCCGCGGTGGGGCTGGGATGGGAGACAGCAGGACAGGGCCTGGCTGGACCCAGGGACCTCCCAGAACGTCGGGGTGAGGGCCGTGGGGGCCTACCCGGGACCCTCCTGCTTCCTTTGTCCCGTAGGCTCGCTGGTGCGGTGGGAGGCCAGCGCCAACACCACGGGAAGCAAAACCGCTTCTAAAGCACAGCGTCCGCGAGCTTCGTTCGCGAGCTGTCGTCCGTGAGCTGCCGTCCGCGAGCTTCGGCAACGCCACCGTCCCAGGAGGTGGAGCTGAATACAATTTTCTTTGGATTGAGAATGAACTTTCTCCAGTTGCCACTGATCTGATAACCCTCCGCAGAACTAGGTTGTAATTAGCAAATAAGTTTGGACACACCTGCCACCACCACCAAAGCCTCCCGAAGCTACTCGGGTTTAAGGTTGCCCAGGGGCTTGTGAACAGCCTATGTAAACACAAACAAATCTGAAAAGGAAAGCAGGAGTCCAATAATGGAAGCCTTTGGAGCCCCTTCTGGGGATGCAACTTTCAGGGGAAGGAGGGGTCTTCAGAGAGCGCAGGGGAGGGGAGGCACCCCCAGCCCCTGCAGGCCCGGCCCACTCTCCAGGGGCGGTGTGGGGTGGCGGCAGATCACAGCTGTGAACACGACCCTTTACCAAAACACAGACTCGGCCGACCGCGTGGGGGTCAGCTGCCATCACCCACATGTGCTGCCTGTTTTCTTGTCACAAACATGTGGAGTTGATGGCTGGCAGCCTCAGTGCAAGCACACAACTCCACAAAGATGGATTACCGGACGGCAGCGCGGCCACGGTCTCTGGTGTTCTAGATTGGACAGCATACAGAATCTCCTAATACGGGAAATCCAACTTTCAGCAACACATTCTCTTACAGTTAGACGTGTCCTGGGCTGCATTTCAAAAGGCACAAAAACAACTTAACGTGCACGGAAAACTTTGGGCAGGACAAACGGACCCGCCGTAGCTGCCGCAGGGGTGGGGGAAGGGGAGGGACGGGCGGGCGGTGTGGCCGAGGGACCTTGAATTTCGTCTATGTCGTCTCAGTGTTTCTCAACGTAAATGTTTTCGTGTACAATAGTAAGTCATGTGACGCTCGTGCGATTAGAAACGCATTCAAAAATTAAATCCGTACCAGCTTCAAGGGCAATGAAAACTGACTACATGCATCGAATGTACGGAAAAGAAACAAAACCAAAAGCCCCACAGACTGGAGAGTGGAGTCAATTAACCAAAGGAAATACAGGGGGGCTCCTGATAGAAAAGCTGACCGTGTTTGAGAAAATACAGGCGCATGAAATGAACAACTGTTTTCTTTCACCCTGGCAACTCCTGGCTGACACAGGGAGAAATGGCACTTCTTTGATTTGGGAAGGTTGCCACAGGCTTCACCCAGGCAGAAAAACCCTCAGACAAGATCTGCAGGAAGGAGGCTCTAAGGAGAACAGGCTCAGCACTTTTTTGGACCCAGGCAAGGAGCCTCTCTGGGTGCTGGACTCAGTCCCAGAGCATGGGCTCCCCTGCAGACACCCAAGGCCCAAACGAGAGAACCCGCAAAAGCGAACACCCACCATCGTTCCCCAGGAAGGGGACAGCGGGGAGGGGGCCAGAGGGAGGATTTGCAGGTTCAAGCCACAGTGTGGGCAGATGGGGCGGATACCCAGCGAGATTTTTCTCTCCCTCTGGTGAATACCCAACCTCACAGAGGGAGGGTCACATGTACTGCTGGCCTGGGCCCGTCTCCCTGCACCCCGGGCTCTCCCGCGGGAAGAGCCACACAAACGGGACCCCCGGGGGCTGCCATGCCAACACTGGCCACTGGAGGCCAGGCACTCTTGGCCCCGCACCTTTGGCTCATCTCTGTGACGGGAACCTGCCGAAACCTCTGGTGGGCACTGGGGTCAGGCCTGTGGGGTGGGAAGGGTGCTCGACCATTCCTCCAGGGCTGTGCTGAGGCTCCTGGGACCATGTCTCCAAATCAGCTTCCTGTGCCTCATCTGTCTGCCACTCTGCTTTTGGGGGGATCCGGTCTGAGACAGCCTCTGATGGGAAAGAGTGGCTGCATGCACCAGCTTCTCGGTCCAGCACCCTTGACGTAAGGCCACACATAGCAGCTGGTACCTCAGGCTGGACAGGGTCTCACCCCTGTCCCGGCCCCGCAGAACCCCCAATCTGTCCCCAGCCAGCTCATCCCCTGTGCCCAGTACAGCAGCCCAGTGATGCAGTGGGGTCCCAGGGCCTGGGGAGCAGGCAGCCTTTGGGGTGGGGGCAGCCATGGGGTCTTGAGAAATCGTCTGGAAGGACAGCAGTGCCCACCATGTGTCCCCAGCCCAGACATGGCCTGGC